AGGAATCTCATTTCAGTTGTAATCTCTCTCTCTCTCTCTCTCTCTCTCTCTCTGTCTCTCTCTCTCTCTCTCTCTCTCTCTCTCTCTCTCTCTCTCTCTCTCTCCCTCTCTTTATTAATTTTTTATGTCATTGTCCATGTCTAGCATTAATAACACATTATCATCATCAGGTGCCTTGCCGACTGGCGTGGGCGATCTCCTGCAGCATGTATCAGTTCGGGTGCCGACACACCTCCATGCCATGCAAAAAAAAACTGTAAAGAATCTTCTCTCGTTGTCTTCCTCTATTCCTCCTTCCACATATCTTTCCAGTGGTCACAACATGTTTTATTTTCCCTCTTCTCATAACATGGCCGAAATATGACGACTGTCTCCTTCTGATGTCTGTGATAAGTTGTCTTCGGGCTCCCGCCTCTTCACACCCTCTTGATTGCTGCTTTTGTCTGTCTGACTGACTGACTGACTGACTTTCAACCCCACCAGGACATCACACAAGCGATAAACACCCGATGACACAAAGTGCCACAAGTGGATGAGGATCGCCATGGAGAGGTCCCAGAAACCGCGTTCAGGCAATTGGCCATATTTATGGCCTGCCTATATTGCGGTCCTAGCAAAAGCCAGGGTGGGGCTTCAAATAACAAACAATTTTGTCCTGAAAAGGACAGAATTGGATTATGATAAGGTCTTGTATGTCAAAGGTATTATTAATCAGTTTCTTTGAGCGATTACCATGTCATGATTAAAGGAAATGCTGAATTAGAATAATAATAACGAAGTATTGTATTTTGAAATATTTTATGATCTTACTACAAAAAGGGACTCCCCCCCCCCCTTCCCCGATGTCAGGTGCCCTAAATGGACGAATCGACTTTCTGAGACTTGGGCCCTAGTGATTCTCACCTGAATGGTGGCACTCTTTTTGACAATTATCAAATGCGACAATGGTTTGGAGACATTAAACATAAGTATGATCTCCAAGAAAGTATATTTACTGAGCTGGCATATTTATCGCCAGGTCTCAAATGGGAGGGGAAGAACATTTCTTGTGATTTCCACTGGCACGTGAATGGAACAGACAGGGGGTGACACGTTTCAGTGAAGTTTGAATCTCAACTAACCAACTATATGATGATAAACAACATATTTAGCGCTACCAGTGCCAAACTTTCACATTATCAAAGGCTTACCTACGTCAAATACACACCCGTCAAATGAGATGCCTGCGGAAAACAGCAAACTCTCCTAGAGAGTGAGAAATGATACTTTCTGGCGGACTGGGAAAAACATCTTGCACCATAATCAAAGAAAGAGACGTCCAAATGATATTACATAATAAATGTTAATTCATATTAGAGGCTCGTTGGTCTAGGGGTATGATTCTCGCTTTGGGTGCGAGAGGTCCCGGGTTCAAATCCCGGACGAGCCCGACAGTTGTTTTGCTGCGTACATATTTTGTCCACCAACACTTTCGTCATAGCACACTTTTTCCTCTGCATTTCCTTCTGCGTTCTCTCGTTAAAATACGTTTGGTATATGATTTACGGCTAGGCTGCGATATCTGCGCCTTTCGGCTCGACTAATTCCATATCAGCAAATCCTTTATTAATCTATTTACTAGTAATCTGGTAATCCTAGTTTCAGCTTCATAGCAAACGGGTCACCCTATAGTTGCTCCGCTCCTGTGCCAACGAAAAATACACGTAGCTCACAGTGTCACGCCATGCATTCAACTCAGAAGCTGGGCGACGAAACTATATCCTTCCAGTCTACAAATGGAGCAAAAATGCAACGGCCACCGTCTGGCGGGGGGAAAAAAGGTGGCCGTGCCTAGCGTCCATATTGACCTGAAGAATTATATGAGGGTTAATAAACGGTCACCCAGCAGTACCCTCATTATTAGCTGGGGAAGGGACTTAAGACATTACATCCACCAGCAGGCGTCGCCCCTACAACGACCTGCCTGCCTTCGTTAACGACTGTTCACCCAACAGCCATCAGTTTTCTCAAAATTTGATATGCACATACGTGTGTATGTATACATGTATGTATGTGTGTGTATGTATGTATGTGTGCATGAGTATATATGAGAGAGGAAGTATATATATATTCGTCCATTCTTTTCCGTGACTGATCACGTCTAGGTCACATACCTGCTGGATTAAGTCCTCAGTCTTTGCCATCCAAGAGCGGCCTCTTTTGAGACGCGTTCCTTTTGTGTCGTGTATAGCTTTGTGCAGTGGGTGGTTAACGTCTGCCGATACCCTCATGTACGCCTTGACCTGTGCCACTTTGTATCTGCTAGTCATCGTCGGCAGACCCAGGAGATAACGCATGGCGTTTAAACAAGGATCTCATCTGCATACGACATTGTTCTACCTAGACCTACGCTTTGTGCACTCGTGACTCCTGCTGTGTACACACTGAAGAGCGCAGGCGACAATGGTGATCCCTGGGGCAGACCCATTAGGACGCGTTGAGGGTCGGATGCCCATTTACCACATCGAAGCGACACTGTTCTTTCAAATAGCGCTGCTGCGATCCAGTTGACCAATTTTGTTTTTATCTGCATATCCAACAGCAGTCTGATGAGCATGTTGTATGGGACGCTGTTGTACGCATCTTCTAAGTCAATAGCGGCTGCAGCCGTTTCCATTCCCTCCTGGAAACCCTCATATGTGTCGTAGGCAAATACTGCAGCATTGCACCGTGTATCTCTTCCTGGTCGGTACCCACCTAGTGTAGCGGGGAATAGACCACCCGACTCCAATATTTGGGTCAACGTTCTGGCTACGATTTTTTCCATGAGTTTTCCTACAGTGTTCTGGAGTGTGATGATTCTGTAGCCATTTATTCTTGTGTGGTCTTTTCCTGGCTTAGGAACTGGTCTGAGATAGCTGTGGAATAATGCCAGTTTTCAGTGTTGTTAAAAATCGTGGATAGTTCATCCATATCTGTCGCCTCGAGGCTTTTGAAGTCGCTGTATCTAATGCCATCAGGCCCTGGAGCTGTGTCCAGACAGGTCTTCAGTGTTGCTCTGATGCAGCCCGTTGAGATGTATACTGTATCATCGACTTCCTCCATTTCAGCCATCTGGATATCATGTAAACTCTGTTGCCAACAGTGTTGGATCTGCTCCCTATCTTCCCTATCTTTCTTTTCCGCCTGCAGGAGAAATCTGTGCAGGATAGCCTCGCCTTTGTCTTTATCCGACTAGACTCTTGTTTAGGGGCTATTCACCCCCCCCCCCCCCAACATGGGGTCGAACTCCATTTACAAACCAAGCGACACTTGGTGGGTAATATGGTCCCGACCCCGCCGGCAGCGCTTTCTTCTCGGGACTATCCCTGCTACCCATTCAAGGTTGGGTCGACCTGGGAGCGAAGGTAATTTTTAAAGAAAAAAAAAAGTCGTTCCCTGTCAGGACCCGAACACACGATCTTCCGATCCGCTAGGCCTTTACAGCAGTTTTAGTTTTAAATTGTTAAATATTTTTTTTTAATAAAAATAATTTGGGCTCGTCCGGGATTTGAACCCGGGACCTCTCGCACCCAAAGCGAGAATCATACCCCTAGACCAACGAGCCGTTATTAATAAGGCAGTAATATCTATTCACATTCACAATAGTATAGGGATGTAAACGTATAGTAAGAATAGTTGTCATGTTTGATTTAGGAATGGAATGAAATGTTTCCTGCTTTCTGACACACAGAAAAGTTTAACTAACTGACGCCTCGTCAACGTTCAGTCTGCCCCTTCCTAAATAATTATTACTAAAATCCCGTACATTTTCAAAGAACAAGTAAGTAACTTGTGCTTTCTTTTAGAAGAGGCGATTTCATTTGTGTTTGTGATACAAAGCCACTGTATTTATTTTTGTTTCCACGAAACGTTTTCGCCCAAGACAGAGAATCACAGACTTCGCCAGAAAGTTCGGTGCTTTAATAATATCCTACCTCAAACAGGGGAAATCCACAGGTCACGGGACAGTCTAATATTTCGGGGGGGGGGGGGGGGGGGTGGTAGATAGGCTGCATGCAGTCGTGGGACGTAGGTGGGTTGGGGTTTGGGTCAGGTCTGAATGTTTTGGGGTCGTTAAAAGCATCAGAAAGCCGGAAACCCAGTCTTACAACCCTCTAAAATGTTGGGCTGTCATGTGACATACGGGGTAAGATAAATAACTGAAAGTTCAATATTATAGGGGTGTTAGGGTTAGGCGGTGTTTATTTCAAGTCGTAACACCCCTACTATAATTCCTGGATTCCCCGTGTTTGGGTGAATTAAAAAAAAAATTACACTCACAGTAAACTCAAGGGTAAAACCAACAATGAGATGATTGGCGAGTTTGCAGTTACAACTAGTAGCCTTACAATGAAAACTGACTGTAACCAGGGCGCTATTTTAGGGTGGAAAAGGGGGAGGGGGGTTGCTTAGGGTACCTAACCCTTTAGGCTCCACCACATGTGATGAATATGTAAATAAATATTTGCGAATAATATTCCTGAGATTTAAGGTTTAAATAAATCTCTATGCCTCTTGCTCTTGGGACAACACAATTCTGCGATTACTTTTGACCTGTCACCGGAGCTTTATTCTTATACAAAAAAGGTGCACATACTCACCACAGTGTCCCAACAAATCGCCAGCACTCATCAAAAAAGGTCAAGTTTTTTTATAGTAGCACTGACAAATGATGCCCTTCCGACTGTCGTAGGCGTTCATGCATCGCCAGATCTGGGTCCTTTGTCCTCTGCATCATTTCCACGGAGGAAATGTGTCCGTGCCGTCATTGCTGATCTACAGCCCGGACCCACCTTCTTCAACTTGTAGTCTACGCCCCTGTGTGGTTTTACCAGGAAGAGAAAACTAAACTTAGAACTGCTGGTTTTCCTAACTTCTCTAACAAGTAGGGGGTCTTCTTGCAAGACTCCAGGGCTGTGCGACACACTCACTTATGAAAGTCTTGCTAACATAATATCTTTATCGTAATTAAACTGATCATGTCGTTTCCATCGAAAAACGACATTCTTATTGGATTAGCTTTTGTATTTTTTGGAATTCTTTTCGCTTTGTGTGACAGGTACGTGAGATCAGAATTCGCTTGATAAATGCAAAATGTAATCTACAATGACAGACCGTGGGAATGAAATTGTTAGAAATGCTGTCAAAATTCAGTCAACACAACGGAACATGAAAATATCAGCTGTGCAAAAATGCATTAAAAAATAACAATGCAATGTTAACATTCACAGTAACTTTATGTTTATTGTTACGATAGTAACTAATATCATCAGGTGGTTTCACTTTCAAAATCTGATCCAGTCACTAGATACCATCCATTTTCAAATACTTGATTAGCATGGCTGGTAACTAAGTAGTATAACCACTTATACATACTTTATTATATTTGATAACTTTCTTTATATTTAATATTCTGAGTTTTTTATGGTATATATGGCATTGACGGTTGGATGTCCGCCTGCAGATCGGATGGTCGTGAGTTCGCGTCCAACCGGAGCCGACCCAGCCTTGAGTGAGTACCAGGTGCAGTCCTGGGAAGACAAGGCGGTTGGTGTGGTGCTGACCATATCACCCACAAAGTGCCGAATGATATATACAAATGTAGGTCTAGCCCTATATTCCCAATACGCATAAAGGTGTGGGAAAATGGTACTTTACCTTTTATACTATAAATGCGGTTGGTCTGTCCTCTAAATAAGGAATTATTGGCTTGTTATTCATCACCATTCTACTTCCTTTTTCACGTATGCCTGTTGTATTCCATTGCTGAACTCTTTCCTACATAGACTTTGGTGTTTCTGTGTGTATGCCCGTGTTTCTGGAACTGATTGTTGGCGTAGAGGTATTCATTCCGATATAAAATTCATGTAAGTGAGTAAGATTTTGTTGTTGTGACAGTCACGGAATGTGGTGTTTCTTTCAGTTTGACACCGGAAGCTGCTTAAAAACGGTTTGGAGCCGAAACCTGGAGGTTCAGGAACTTGAAGCTTAGGAACCTAGACCCGCCTCCCCCTCCCCCTAACATGTAAGGTACTTCTCTTCTAGTTCACCTACATGTCAGGGACTCCGAGATTTCATTGGAGTCCCCCAGAAAGTCCAATATTGTGGGGAGGGGGGAGTGTTTTCATTTCACGCATTAACATTCCTATACTTAGTCCTTAGACAAGAAACCACATGCTGCTTAAAAAAACTCACAATGAAGTAGGTCTGTACCACGGCCGGGCTCCATATACAGGAGGTCGTGGTCTCATGCAATAAGAAGAAATAGACTTAAGAACTTGGTAACAGCGGGCAAGATCGATGGAAAGAGAGCAAGAGGAAAGGCAAAGAGACAAATACCTGGATGGCTTGGTAATATGGATGGGATGAGAGAAGAACACTGACTTGATCCGTAATTCTGGTGCTCTAGTGAGATGGCGAAACATAACAGCCTACACTTTTTGGCACAGCACATGATGATCATGATCATGGTTACGTCATTTAAAATATATTATTTGCTACAGAAGGAGTCACACCGTGACGTAGCAGCTAGACTCTTGCCTGTAGATCCCAGAGTCAAGAGTTTGATTTAGAAGGGAGCCAGACTTTTTTTTTTTTTTCCTTGAATTGGAGGTTGAGCCAACCTTAAATTGGCACCAGGTAAAGTCCTGGAAAGTAAAGGCAGTCGGTGAGAGGTTGACCACATCACCCACAGAATGCACATTGGTCTTGAAAATATATGTCTAACCCTATATGCCCAGTAAACGGAAAAAAGTCCTGTACTCTTATTTTTGTTTGCTGCAGATATTACCCGCCTTCATTTGTATATATTTTTTATTCTTTTCTAAATTTAGATGGCAGATGGCAGTAAAGTTCAAGGGTAATGGCTCTCCACATCCATTTGACCATCTGACAGTGATGGTAAGTGTTGTTATGAAGTTGATGATCCTTCTAATTCTCTTAATTTCAGGTGTTGTTGAGTTACCTGAATTGCTTGTTATCTGGCATTTTATTGTACTTTAGTTAATTGTATTGTTTTAACCTGTCAGTGCCATCTGCTTAAGGGACACATAGGAAGATGCTTTCACAGAGATGAAAGTCGGACAGGGCAGTTTCCTTTCTCCAACACCATTTTACATCTTCCTATATAGAATAATAAATGACGTTCAAGAAAAGACTTTCAATCATTTCCTGAACATCCACCTAATGGCTGGATATAAGACTGATGTAATCTGCATAATCCAGAACTTCTAAAACTGAGTTAAGTAACCTTCTGATACCTGTGTTTCTATCTCTTGTAACTTCCTTCATCTGCCAGTCAATGGCCAGGTTGTTCAAAAAGGATGATAGGAGGGCTATTCCAAAATCAACCTCTGATTAGCTGGTAAAAATGTAATAAACTAATTGACCATAACATCTGAAAACCTACAAAAGGTACAAACATCACTGCATAACTTTTACACAAAGTCACCACCCAAATTGAGGCAGTTGCACCGTGGCATGAGTTTTGGTAACCCCTGGTCAACGAATCATACTGCTAGCATATTTAGCCAGTTGTTGACTCCATCCATGAGTTTCTTGGGCGCGTTGAAGTACTAGGTAGCCAACCAGACCTTTATCTTGCTGAAGAGGGGATAAACACTTGGTGCCAATAAGGCTGTAAAAGGGGATAAACACTTTGTGCCAAAAGAACTGTAAGAGGGGATAAACACTTGTTGCCAATAAGGCTGTAAGAGGGGATAAACACTTTGTGCCAAAAGAACTGTAAGAGGGGATAAACACTTGTTGCCAATAAGGCTGTAAGAGGGGATAAACACTTGGTGCCAATAAGGCTGTAAAAGGGGATAAACACTTTGTGCCAAAAGAACTGTAAGAGGGGATAAACACTTGTTGCCAATAAGGCTGTAAGAGGGGATAAACACTTGGGGCCAATAAGGCTGTAAGAGGGGATAAACACTTGGTGCCAAAAGGACTGTAAGAGGGGATAAACACTTGGGGCCAATAAGGCTGTAAGAGGGGATAAACACTTGGTGCCAATAAGGCTGTAAAAGGGGATAAACACTTTGTGCCAAAAGAACTGTAAGAGGGGATACAAACTTGGTGCCAGTAAGGCTGTAAGAGGGGATAAACACTTGGTGCCAAAAGGACTGTAAGAGGGGATAAACACTTGGTGCCAAAAAGACTATAAGAGGGGATAAACACTTGGTGCCAAAAAGACTGTAAGAGGGGATAAACACTTGGTGCCAAAAGGACTGTAAGAGGGGATAAACACTTGGTGCCAAAAGGACTGTAAGAGGGGATAAACACTTGGTGCCAAAAGGACTGTAAGAGGGGATAAACACTTGGTGCCAATAGGGCTGTAAGAGGGGTGGTTGCAAATTTTGCACTGAAACTGCTCATAATAAGCATGAAACAGGACCTTATGTCTCCCTTGACACCCAAAGCGGTAAAAGAGGGTGTAAAGAAGAAGAACTCCTCATAATGATATCTCTGTAGCCACGACACAGTCAGCAATGAATCTCAGCAGCATTTTGACTTTATGCTTGAAGAAAACAAATCACACCATGAATTTCACAGCTGTTGGGAAAGGCTATTGCAGTGTCCATGTTTAACATGAACTACTGAACAAATGTGACTCTAGGTTGATATGTAGTGAGCTAAAAAAACAACTGAATGATGCAAGCAATGAATAGTGTTGCTATGGCAAATGGTTTTTGTTAACCAGCCGATCAGAGGTTAATTTTAGAATAGCCCTCGCAGTATGTTACCCTGCCTCATGCCTGTATTGACAAAGAAACTTTCTATTATATGATTAACACAGACTAACCTCCATTTAAACTGTAAGCCATAGACTGCTTTGATCACATTTACTGTTTTCTGTAGTTGTTCTAAATATATTATATAATATCATATTCCCATGTGTTTTCTAACAGTGGATATTGAAACAGTTGGTCCAGATGTCACTGTTTTTCATTTGGATGGCAATTGACAAAAACTGGCTTGGGTTTGGCCGTTTTAGACATGGAGATATAGTTCATAAAGGTATGATGATTAAGGTATTTTATTTAATATATATACAGTAAAACTTTGATTAACCGTCACAGTCTGGACCAGGCCTGTGACCAATTACCAAACAGACAGATAACAGAAATCTTCTTATACATATCTACAGTAATCTGATTTCACTGCGGGCTTGGGACAAAAATGAAAACAAAATCCATTTCAAAGGGAATAATATATAAATATACATATTGTATTTAATTTTACAAAACAATCAATTTAAACTTGATTATAAGAGTAGTAATGTAGAGAAATATATTGTAATACTATAAACCTTCCTTTTTTTAAAAATAATCTGAAATCTCTTTCTGTGTCTTAGAGGCTCAAGTTTTATGTGTGGCGATTTTGTGTACAAGTAATCTGTGGACAGTTTTAAAGATATCTGTTTATTCACACTCATGCATTTTTTCTCCCAGATGTATAACAGAAACTGGCGGTTAAATGAGTGACGGTTAATCAAAGTTTTATTGCGCACGCACACATACACACACACACACACACACACACACACACACACATATATATATATGTTGTTGTTATCGATCCAGCGGCGCATGAGCTTTCGCCCTTTGGCCCAATGCCATGTAGTGGAATTTGCATGTTTTCACAAGCTGTTCTTTTCCTCCGTACAAGGTGTTCCACTTGTCTGGTCTCGGAGGGAGTAGCGTTCTTCTTGTCTCACTGTGTTTTGGGCACTCAAAGAGATGGTGTTCAACAGTTTCGTAGGGGTAGTTACATAGCTGGCACTCTGGGGAGTGTTGTGGCTGTATTCTGTTTAGGTGTCCATTGAGTGGAGTATGTTGCGTTCTAAGTCTGAAGATGGTGGCCTGGTCCCTTCTTGTTAGATGGTTAATGCTGTCATTAGGATCAGGGCCAGACATATGTCTATACACCTCTCTTCCAGTGTCTCCCATGGCCCATCTATTCAACCAAGTCTCTTTGTTTATAGCTCTTATCAGTGTTTTTGCTGTCTGGAGGTAATAAGCTGATTAGCATCCAGGATTATCTTGGCTATGTCAGTTCTGCAGCGTTCACTGCCCTCCAGAGCTTGAAGGGCAGACATTGAATCTGTGAAGATGACAATATTTTGGACCTTTGAAGGGTAAACATCCATTACAGTCTTTAGGTGGTATACTGCTGTTTCCAGTGCAATTATTTCAGCTTCATAGTTTGAACAGAATTCCCCGCATGCATCAAAAATTTCTTCAACAGATCCATCGGGATAACCTATGTAGATTCCGTAACCTGCTTTAATGGTAGCTCTAAATGCTGATCCATCAGTATAGACATGTATCCATTCTTGGGGGTAAGAATCAACGGTCTTTAGTGATGAATATATATACATACATACACACACACATATATATATGTAAACATATATACAAGCATCGGAAAGAACAGAAGAGCAAGACCCATAAAAACTTGAGGTGTTTAGCATATGTACATGGTATATGTATGTGTATAGATATATATACATATAAAAGAGTGCATGCACATACACAAGTGCTGCAGACATACATGTACACACAAGCAGTAGCAAACAGAAGACTTCACTAAGTTACACACTAGTGATATCTGAGTAAAATAAAAATGAAGAATTAACCAAACACCCAACCAGGATAGAGTGTGTCAATTATGAAAACAACAAAATAGCCAGGAAGACTGATGATTGATCTAGGTGTTAAATGTTTTGCTGGCACTATTTGGGTTCAAGGGACCTATATGGTTTCAAGGGACCTATGTGGGTTCAAGGGACCTATATGGGTTCAAGGGCCCTATTTGGATTCAAGGGACCTATATGGGTTCAAGGGCCCTATTTGGATTCAAGGGCCCTATATGGGTTCAATGGCCCTATTTGGATTCAAGGGACCTATATGGATTCAAGGGACCTATATGGATTCAAGGGACCTATATGGATTCAAGGGACCTATATGGGTTCAAGGGACCTATATGGGTTCAAGGGACCTATATGGATTCAAGGGACCTATATGGGTTCAAGGGCCCTATTTGGATTCAAGGGCCCTATTTGGGTTTAAGGGCTCTGTTTTGGGGGAAAAGAAAAGACCCACTAGCCTCCAAGAAGCATAGCCTTCTGTAAATGGCGACTAATTAGCATGTTTACTTCAAGGTCAGAGTGCATTTGCCTGGCAGGTATAGAACCAATAGTCTGCATACAAATAAACCCAATTGTAAAACAGAAGATGGAAAATTGGATAAAGAAATTAACATTAGATGCAGTAAAGCAAACCAAGTATTGGGACAGCTAGCCCCCTTCTTACAGCATAAGACAATCCCAATCAGCACAAAGAGACATCTTTTTCAAAGCATATTTATTCCAACTCTGTGCTACCAGTGCCAGACATGGTCACTCACAACAAACCATAAAAGAAAATTAGTAACCATTGAAATGAGATGTCTGAGAAGGGCTGTAGGAGTGACCATAAAAGATAAGATCAGGAATGAGATCATAAGAGAAAAAGTCGGCACAGAACCAATTCTAAATTACATACGAAGACAGCAAGTGAAATGGTTTGCCCACTTAGAGAGAATGCCTTGTGACACCATACCATACAAAGCATACATGGAAAGAGAAGAAGGACGTAGAGCACGAGGCAGACCAAGAACAAGATGGAAGGATAACATCAAAGAAACTCTACAACACCACGATGTGCCTATGGTCGAGGCGGCCAGAAAAGCTAGAAACAGAACCTTATATCTCCCTCGACACCCACAGCGGTAAAAGAGAAAGTGAAGAAGAAGAAGTAAAACAGATGTGCATACAAATGCCATGTTCTAGAAAAATTCCAAAGTGCAGAGCTTTCTGCCAGAGTTTAGAGTGACGCACAGATGTGAGTCAGTGAGACATTGCCACTCAGAAATTGGCTTATCTCAGGTGGAAGGCACGGGAAAGCATTCAAAAGATGATAAATATGTTAAGAAAATTAAGCAAAAAAATAAGCTAAAGACAAAACAAAAGGAGCAGAAGAAGAAAAAGAAGACAATGAACTCTGTAACTGTTACCACGTGGTATATTTTAACATAATATTAATTTTACAGCAAATCTGCACGGTCGAATACTTCCCATCCCAAGACTAAATGAGGAACCACTCTCTATCAATGCTGACGATGAAGCAGACGGCGGTGGCAATGGTCACATTGCTGATGATACTGGTGCAGAAATTCATGATCGACGTTACAACCATGGGGAACATGATACAGATAATGAAGAGAATGCAGAAGAAACCGATGCAGAAGACAAAGAACTTATCGTGCTGGCTGAAGAAAAGAAGCATCGTAAAGGTCAGAAGAGCAAAAAACCTTCTGTGCTCATTTACCTGGCGCCCGCAGTTTTTGCCCTGGCCGATGTTTTGCTGATGTATTTTGGCTTGAGTCTGACCTACGGCTCCAGTTTTATTATGCTGAAAGGTAATCTAGAATTTAGGTTAACTTCTTGTTCTCAGTTTGAATGTTTTTCTTTTCTTGTTGTGATACTCCTTGAATGGTCACACCATCAGATATCTAACTTTTTTTTAAAATTCAATTTAAGTCCATTGACAATAAAATGCCTAAACGAAAGAAAAAAATATTGTTTCATGTAGTAGTAATAATAATGTAAACAATAATATCTTGTTCAACCCATCTGGGTCGTAAGTGGAAATAAAGTCTTTTATTTTTCCTATTTTGAAATTTGATATTTATACTTGTCAGTTACTATTAGTTATTCAAAATTGCTGGGGAGCTGCCACGGTGTAGCAGCTACTTACTCGCCTGCAGAATTGGAAGGTTGTGTGTTCGGGCCAGAATTTTTTCAGAAATATCCTTGGCTCCCAGCCTTGAGTGGGTACCAGTATAGCCTGGGAAGTAAAGGTGGCCGAGATAATGCTGACCACATCACCCACCGAGTGGGGATTGGTCTATAAAATATGTCTAGCCCTATATGTCCAAAATGCATGAAGGTGTAGAAGAGAGTAGTTCGCTTTTATTTTACTATCTAATATTGCTTAAATGATGTATTAACTGTAACAGAATGTAGGGGTGTAGATTTTTGATTTTCATGTATTTTAAGTGTACTTTTAAAGTAATTGTGATAACCTTGCTGTGTAATCTATCTGAATGTTATGAGATTGTGAGATTAATTATTTAACAGTACCAAAAAACACTATAAAGTTTATTTATTTTCTCTGCTACTTCTTTCTTTCTCTTCCACATTTTCCTCACCCTTTTCCTTTCTCTTTCTCCTTGTCATTTTCCTTCTTGACCATGTCTTCTCCCCTCCTCCGTCTTCCTCTTTTTTCCCACCTCTTCAGCTTCTCTTAGTTCCCTTCTGCCACTTCTTCACCCATTTTCCTTTTACCTCTCCATTTATTCTTTCTCCTTCTTATTCCAGCCCATCTTTTCTGTTTACTCCTTCCATAATGAATAAGTGAAATATTTTTAACACAGCTAGTTATAAGTCAAGCAGTCGAAGCACTCAGTGTTTCTCATATTTCCCCACCAGGTACAGTCACCTTCTTCACAGCCCTGTTGTCAATGTCCTTCCTGGCCCAACAGCTTGCCTGTTATGTCTGGTTCGGAGTGGTGGTGTCTGCACTGGGTTTTGCTGTGACAGGGATTTCCGACTACATCAAAACCCCCAGCGGTGGCTATGAAAAGTATGGAATTGCTGCAGGTTTGTAGCTGTGATCACTACCACCATATTCATCCCCATTTTCCTTATTCCAATTGTGTCAGCGATGTTCAAAGTAATAAACAAATGGGTAGCAGTGGGTAGCATTCTTGTCTGCCATTCCGAAGGTCATGTGTTTAAATTTTCATTAAGACTAATTTTGTAGAATTATACTGAACTCTTAAAATGACCCAACCTAAAAATTGGTACCAGGAAATGTTCTGAGAATAAAGGTTAAAAAGCATCAACAAGTTGGATTTGTTGTCTTAAAAGGCTCAAATTTCACATACAAGCAGACACGGCGCAGTAACAAACTATCTGATGATTCAGGAAGAATAGAAAGAATAAGAAAACAAAAGAAAACAAAACCTCTCCAAAAAAGAGGAAGCAAAATAAAACAAGAAGAATGAAGAGTAAAAGCAGCAAAAAATAAGCTGTCTTACCTCCCATAAAAGATTCTACTACCCATTTTATGAAACTGGGTTCCTCCCACAGTTGTATCGTAGTTTGAACCTATAATCTCCATGTGTGGGTTCTGGGGCCCCATTGAGGGGAGGGGAGGGGGAGGATGGTGAGGAAGGCAAGGAACTAACAACTAACAGTCTGCATATAAATAAGCCAGATCTGTAAAATGGATATGCACGCAAAACTCAAGTTCTGGAAAAAGACTGAAGTTCAGAAGTGGACAAACAACCAGAACTTTCCACTGGAGTTTACGGCCGGTGAACAGTAAGATGAAAAATAGCCAAGATGTCAACACTGAGAGATATTTGCTATAACTAGTAGGTGTTCACAGCTCTGATCCTCATCAGTAAGCAATATTGTAATGTCTTCTTGCAGGTAACCTCCTGATTGTGATGGCTCAGATTATGTTCGCCACAAAGATCATTTATGAAGAGAAGTTCATCCGTAAACACTCCATCCATCCTATGAAGTTTCTAGGGTGCGAAGGTAAAAGTTCATGTCCCATATTATTTGACATTTAGATTATTTGTATTGTTAAAGAATGTCAGTTGTATGTATTTTCTGGCCTATCACAGACCAACTCCCATATTTATTGGCTGTTGTGATGGTTTTATTTAAAACTCATTCACTACCAAACAACTCACCATTTGTCTGCCGTGTTTAACTAAGATTATCCATTTTATCTTAACTCCTCATGCCACATCCAGTTTTTATATTAAACCACACTGCTCCAGCTGTATTTTAACTCTTTGGGTCCCAATTAGGATGACCATATCATCAGGAAGGTACTGTTTGTTAGGTTGTCCCAGACCGCCTTGTCAATACTCAACAACAAAAGCCATTGTTCCAGTCGACGATCAGTATCGACTGGACGGGCTGAGCCTACCTAAAAAATGATACCATCTTAGGTGAAAGCAGAATTTACTGTTTCTTCTATGTCGGAGTGCATCTGCCTGAGAGGCAAGGAACCAACAATCTGCTTACAAATAAGTCTGACCTGTAAAATGCATTCAACACGTAGGTATGGAACAAGACTAAAGTCCAGATGTGGACGAACAACCAGAACTTTTCTCGGGAGGTTACAGCCAGTGAACGTAAAGAAGAAGGAGTAGAACTTATGGTCACCATAGTTCCCGAAGGTTTTGCTTACATTTCCAAGGGGTTTAATAACCACTGTGAAAAAACTCCGGTTTTCTTCTTCTTCTTTGCATTCACCGGCTGTAAACTCCGGCGGAAAGTTCTGGTTGTTCATCCACGTCTGGACTTTAGTTTTGTTCCAGAACTTGAGTTTTGTGTGTACGTCCGTTTTACAGATCTAGCTTGTTTGTATACTGACTTTAGGTTCCTCACCTCTCAGGCACTCTTTACCTCACATCTCAGGCACTCTGTACGTCACATCTCAGGCACTCTGGTTTTGAAGGAAGAATCCTTAATTGGGCAGCTTTTACGACTGCTAGAACAACTCTCAGTTCTGTATGTCATATGTTATAAACATGTTAAGTCTCCTAGAACAACTCACAGTTCACTTGTAATATGTTACATATTCTTTTTTTCCCCAGCATTTTATGGCATCGGGATGGCTGCCATCTTTTTGGTGGCCTTCAGTTTTGTTGATGGGTCACAGTACAATAATCTGCCCAATCAAAAACTTGAAGACATCGGCGATGCAATCTTTCAATTCTGCCATAACTGGAGAGTCATTCTGGCAGTTCTTGGTAAACTAGTTGATGTATTTTTAATGATTTTATAAAAGTTGATATTGATGTTTGGTCACCTCTTTCTGCAAACTTGCAACCTCTCACATGTTTATTAATTAGTCTAAAGACTGCAAATTTCTGTCTCTTCTTTTATCACAGATAGTTGTTTTATTCTTTTTCTTACCGATCACAGGCCATAAACTCTAGTTAACAGTTTTGATCGTTCTGCCTCTCAGGCAGATGAACTCTGACCTTAGATGGAAACACCCCTAATTAGCTGACTTTTATGACATTTAGTAGAGAGGCAGTGAGTATGTTCTTATCCCCCTCTTCCCCTTCTCCAGACCCTACACAGGGAAATGAGACAGTGATCTGGAGTAAGGGGGTGAAAAATGAGAATAGGGAAGCTGGAAAACATTGTAACAACTGGGAAGATCTATAATAGAAGCGGCAAAAGACAGACAGAGAAAAATGAAGCTGGATGGTCTAAGATGGTGGCATGGAGGAATATCATCAGGCCTGGCTGTCTAGCGTAGTTGGCTAAACCGGATTGTGCGGTGACCGGGTGACGAACTCCTTGTGGTCCGGGTTCACTCCCAAGGGTAGGCAGAAAAGCCACATATCTCCCTGATTTACGGTATTTATCATGGAATCAAGGCCGAAAGGTTGCGATATCCATAATACCGAGCCTAAGGGTTAACAACTTGTGGCTTCTGGATACTAAACCAAACAAACAAACAAACAAACACAGGAGTATCATCAGTAGAATTGATCTCCCCTATGTGGAGTCAGAGACCCTGTCTTGAAGGGAAAACAATATACCTAATGCACACAAGTGTGTTGTGAAAGACGACTTATTAGGTTTTTTGTTGAAATCAGATGTTTTAGACTAAAAGGTGCAGATATCGCAGCTTCTCTGTACACCACAACAAAATGTGTGACCAGCCTTATAATGGCAAATAAGAAAAAAAGGAACCAACAGTCTGCATACAGATCTGTCAAATGGATGCACATGCAACACTGAGGTTCTGAAACAGGACTGCAGTCCAGAAGTGGACGAACAACCAGAACTTTCCGCTGGAGATTACAGCCGGTGAACGCGAAGAGGAAGAAGACGGAATCTAGGAATAATCTTTAGATTAGAATAGACACTTCTGTAGACGTTACTTAGATTGCATAGTCATAGATACTTTTAATGCCTTGAATTTTTTTATGGCTAATCTGGAAAATTTGACATGAGCATTTCTATTTCAAGGGCCACTTATTCTATATATTATGTTAGTGGAACCATTAAAAACAAGACGTGCAAATAAATTAGAGGAAAAAAGTTGTAATATTAATTAATTGCAAGTAATTATTAATTAATTATAAATTATTATAAATCAAATATTAAATTAATGCAGTTTATATTGTCATGTTCTAAAAATGTATTAGTTCCATAATGAATAATAAAAATAATAATAAATTTCAGAAAAAAAAAAAAAAATTGTGGGGGGGGGGGGGGGGGGGGGGCCATAAACTAACTTGCTTGGTGTGTCCCGTGTTCAACTTAAAATCAAAATATTAGTGGGATGTCCCATTTCCCACTCAGGATTTTATAATCACCCTAGCACATACTGATGATGACGAAAAGATAATATTTTTTTTTAAATAGCACCTGTATACTGTCTTTTGTGTACATGAGATGTACACCTGTGCAGGATTGTTTATCACCATGACACATGATGATGATGTTTGTGTAATGTTCCCCACAGGTTCCCTTTTCTGTTACATTATGTATACGTACCTGGGATTGTTCTTGATCCGAGATCACGGGGCTTTGCCTAGAATCATGATTGAGACTTTCATCTGGAGCATTTACTGGGCGGTGTGTCTTGCTCTTGGTTGGGACCAGTTCTTCATAGCACAGGTGAGTTGTTTGTTGTTGCCAGTTTGGATGGTTGGCTACAGGAGCTGTGGCAGTGCTGTCGTTAGCCTGCTTGTTTGCTGGCCATGTGGTCAGGGTTTGGCAGGTATTCAAGGTTTGACAGGTGGTCCTGGTTTGACAGGTAGTCAAGGTTTGGCAAATGGTCAAGGTCTGAATCTCAGCGGAAGCTCATTGTTTAGGCTCCCAACTTGACCCAACTTAAAACGGGGAATTAAATGTTATGATAAAATCACCTAATGTGGATCTTGGGGAAAGAACTAAACAAATTCCACTGAACTGAGAGGTGAAGAAAGATGCTGGAATTGGAGATAACACCTGCTAAGAAAACCAGAGAACAATAAAACTAGAAGGGCTTTATGCCAGAACCCACAGGGGTACAGAATTAAAGCCAGATACACACAGATAAGGGAGCTAGAGAATGAAGTTAAAAAGATAGGGGAGGACATGGAGTGAGTTCCGTGCAGCAGCAAAGGATAGGACAACTTGGCCTATGCTCCATAGGGGAATAAAGAGCAGAAGAAGAAAGAGAGAATATTCCTTAAAAGGAAAGGTTACTGGCTTGATCATCAAATCCATCAACTGCTAAATAGCCTGTAAAGATATTGAACAAGGAAAATGCTCAGTTTTTATCAATTTGTTCTTTTAATTTATGTCGTTGATACTGACCGTCTGGAACTGCTAACCTTCTGGGACTGCCCCGTGTTCCTCTCAGGTGGCAGCAACAACAGCTTTCCGATAGTTTGAGAGTACTGCCCAACAGGTGGTCACTGTAACGGACTCACAGAGCATACTACAAAACACTCTGACCGTGGCTTCTCACACACAGAGAGGCTTCCCACACACAGAGAGGCTTCCGACTCACAGGGAGGCTTCCCACCCACAGAGAGGCTTCTCACACACAGTAGATCTCTGACACACTCTACAGTGAGAGCTGGCTACAGTAGATCTCTGACACGCTCCACAGTGACAGCTGGCTACAGTAGATCTCTGACATGCTCCACAGTGACAGCTGGCTACAGTAGATCTCTGACATGCTCCACAGAGACAGCTGGCTACAGTAGATCTCTGACACGCTCCACAGTGAGAGCTGGCTACAGTAGATCTCTGACATGCTCCACAGTGAGAGCTGGCTACAGTAGATCTCTGACATGCTCCACAGAGACAGCTGGCTACAGTAGATCTCTGACATGCTCCACAGTGACAGCTGGCTACAGTAGATCTCTGACACACTCCACAGTGAGAGCTGGCTACAGTAGATCTCTGACACACTCCACAGTGACAGCTGGCTACAGTAGATCTCTGACACGCTCCACAGAGACAGCTGGCTACAGTAGATCTCTGACACGCTCCACAGAGACAGCTGGCTACAGTAGATCTCTGACACGCTCCACAATGAGAGCTGGCTACAGTAGATCTCTGACATGCTCCACAATGAGAGCTGGCTACAGTAGATCTCTGACACGCTCCACAGAGACAGCTGGCTACAGTAGATCTCTGACACGCTCCACAATGAGAGCTGGCTACAGTAGATCTCTGACACGCTCCACAATGAGAGCTGGCTACAGTAGATCTCTGACATGCTCCACAGTGAGAGCTGGCTACAGTAGATCTCTGACACGCTCCACAATGAGAGCTGGCTACAGTAGATCTCTGACACGCTCCACAGTGAGAGCTGGCTACAGTAGATCTCTGACACGCTCCACAATGAGAGCTGGCTACAGTAGATCTCTGACACGCTCCACAGTGAGAGCTGGCTACAGTAGATCTCTGACACGCTCCACAGTGAGAGCTGGCTACAGTAGATCTCTGACATGCTCCACAGTGAGAGCTGGCTACAGTAGATCTCTGACACGCTCCACAATGAGAGCTGGCTACAGTAGATCTCTGACATGCTCCACAGTGAGAGCTGGCTACAGTAGATCTCTGACACGCTCCACAGTGAGAGCTGGCTACAGTAGATCTCTGACACGCTCCACAATGAGAGCTGGCTACAGTAGATCTCTGACACGCTCCACAATGAGAGCTGGCTACAGTAGATCTCTGACACGCTCCACAATGAGAGCTGGCTACAGTAGATCTCTGACACGCTCCACAATGAGAGCTGGCTACAGTAGATCTCTGACACGCTCCACAGTGAGAGCTGGCTACAGTAGATCTCTGACACGCTCCACAGTGAGAGCTGGCTACAGTAGATCTCTGACACGCTCCACAATGAGAGCTGGCTACAGTAGATCTCTGACACGCTCCACAGTGAGAGCTGGCTACAGTAGATCTCTGACACGCTCCACAGTGAGAGCTGGCTACAGTAGATCTCTGACATGCTCCACAGTGACAGCTGGCTACAGTAGATCTCTGACATGCTCCACAGTGACAGCTGGCTACAGTAGATCTCTGACACGCTCCACAGTGAGAGCTGGCTACAGTAGATCTCTGACAAGCTCCACAGAGACAGCTGGCTACAGTAGATCTCTGACATGTTCCACAGTGAGAGCTGGCTACAGTAGATCTCTGACAAGCTCCACAGAGACAGCTGGCTACAGTAGATCTCTGACACGCTCCACAGAGACAGCTGGCTACAGTAGATCTCTGACACGCTCCACAGAGACAGCTGGCTACAGTAGATCTCTGACACACTCAATCTTTTGTCCTGGATTTACAGCCTCTCAGATTGCTGTTGTCCATCTCTAGTTGTAATCTACTGCTCGGATTTTACATGACCTTTGGTCCATCTCTTGATATCATCGTTCCCCTTGTATCATTGTCTACCTCTTCCTAGCATACCTGTAAACTATCCATTTAGCATTGTTATATGTAATATTTTCTTTATCTTTCCTAGGTACCTGGCCTCTGCGTGATCATCATCGGGGTACTGCTGTACTCCCACATCCTTGTTCTACCCTTCACTTCACGACTCGAAGGAATTGATAAAACTGTTGATAATTTCCGAGATCAGTTTATGAACTTCAACAAAGCCGGAAATCAGCAGAGCTTTCACCAGAATATCCTGGGAGGAGACGATGAGAATATGCTACAGACAGAGAGAGACAATGATTGTGGACAGAATAACGCTCAGCTGAGAGAGAGAGACAATGAGTATGGACAGCAAAGAGCTGGTAATCACTATGATCCTCAAGAAGTTGTTGTTGAAGTCCATCATCGCAATGGAGAGGAGAGACAGACAGGAGACAACAGAAGTTCCAATGATGCGCTGCCTGTTGTTACTTAGAGGAGACTTGTCCCTTGTACAGCGACATGTGGATGATGCTTGTTTTCCTAATCCACACTTGCATTAAGTCTTTCTGCCCACTAAACATACCATGTATGACTGACAATTCTTTCTGTCCACTAAACATACCATGTATGACTGACATTTCTGTCTGCCCACTAAACATACCATGTATGACTGACAATTCTTTCTGCCTATTAAACATACCATGTATGACTGACAATTCTGTCTGCCCACTAAACATACCATGTATGACTGACAATTCTTTCTGCCCACTAAACATACCATGTATGACTGACAATTCTTTCTGCCCACTAAACACACCATGTATGACTGACAATTCTTTCTGTCCACTAAACATACCATGTATGACTGACATTTCTGTCTGCCCACTAAACATACCATGTATGACTGACAATTCTTTCTGCCTATTAAACATACCATGTATGACTGACAATTCTGTCTGCCCACTAAACATACCATGTATGACTGACATTTCTGTCTGCCCACTAAACATACCATTTATGACTGACAATTCTGTCTGCCTATTAAACATACCATGTATGACTGACAATTCTGTCTGCCCACTAAACATACCATGTATGACTGACATTTCTGTCTGCCTATTAAACATACCATGTATGACTGACATTTCTGTCTCCCTATTAAACATACCATGTATGACTGACAATTCTTTCTGCCTATTAAACATACCATGTATGACTGACAATTCTGTCTGCCCACTAAACATACCATGTATGACTGACATTTCTGTCTGCCCACTAAACATACCATGTATGACTGACAATTCTTTCTGCCTATTAAACATACCATGTATGACTGACAATTCTGTCTGCCCACTAAACATACCATGTATGACTGACAATTCTTTCTGTCCAATAAACATACCATGTATGACTGACAATTCTTTCTGTCCAATAAACATACCATGTATGACTGACAATTCTTTCTGTCCACTAAACATACCATGTATGACTGACAATTCTGTCTGCCCACTAAACATACCATGTATGACTGACAATTCTTTCTGCCCACTAAACATACCATGTATGACTGACAATTCTTTCTGCCCACTAAAAATACCATGTATGACTGACAATTCTTTCTGCCGACTAAACATACCATGTATGACTGACAATTCTTTCTGCCCACTTAACATACCATGTATGACTGACAAGTCTTTCTGCCCACTAAACATACCATATATGACTGACAATTCTGTCTGCCCACTAAACATACCATGTATGACTGACAATTCTTTCTGTCCAATAAACATACCATGTATGACTGACAATTCTGTCTGCCCACTAAACATACCATGTATGACTGACAATTCTTTCTGCCCACTAAACATACCATGCATGACTGACAATTCTTTCATATGAATATGACATATGTAAACTGCACTTTTATTTTGGGCAGCACATACACTAAAGAAATCTGCAGCAATTTTATTTTTATAATTCAAGATAGGATGAATATTTCTAACCATCATGAAAATAATCAATCAGTCAATCTGTGCCATCTCCGCAGTGAAGATAAGCTGTAATAGATCTGCAACAGGCTTTGTCTTTACACTCTCTCAGTCTGCTGTTCGTCCATCTCTTGATGTTATACACCCACTTGTATCACAATCTGTGTCTTGTTCACTTGCCTTGAACTTTTCCCCCAAGTTTGGTTTTTAAAAGTATAAAGTGTGAAAGTGATCTGTTGTGGTTTTGTTGTTATTATTTTCCCTGTCAGGCAGTGCTTTGACCTTCTTCTTCCGCCTCAAAACAGGGCACCACTGATTACGCAGCCACATGTACACTATATTTTAAGACAGACGTATCAGTCATGTGCACCCGTGGAGAGATGCCGTAGACAACACAACATGTATCAGTCATGTGCACCTGTGGAGAGATGCTGTAGACAACACAACATGTATCAGTCATGTGCATCTGTGGAGAGATGCCGTAGACAACACAACATGTATCAGTCATGTGCACCCGTGGAGAGATGCCGTAGACAACACAACATGTATCAGTCATGTGCACCTGTGGAGAGATGCTGTAGACAACACAACATGTATCAGTCATGTGCACCTGTGGAGAGATGCCGTAGACAACACAACATGTATCAGTCATGTGCACCTGTGGGATGGTGTCGCTGACAACACAACATGTACTCCACAACATGTATCAGCAATTTTGCCTCTCCTATAAATTTTACTGTAGTTTTTAGTTCGTTGAGTGGTCCATAGAGTTCATATTCCACTTTTATTCTTTCTGGCCAAAAAGTTTGCCTTAATGTGTCCAATTCTGTGCGGTCCTGCTCTTTGGGGAGGCAGCAAGTCTGTCCTTGTTTTCCCCACAATGGGGCCCCGGAACCCACACAGGAAGTTGAAGACCTCAATATGAAGTTTCCTTAAGATGTGATAGTATAGACATTTTATTTGTAACTAGCCAAAGGCGATTCTCAAGGCTCAGAGGAAAAGCAAGACGGACGTTTAATCAGAAAGCTACTGGCACCATTAGTATCGGAACTCTTTGCTGGCTGCTGAAGATGGGGATGGAGCGCTTTTGGGAATGCCCTGAGTGCTGTGATGTCGGTTCTTGAATCAAATCAAAGCAAATCAAATTGTAACCAGCCACGCCCCATTGTCATCTGCTGAATACGTCATTGTTGTAAATATTTCCACATAAGATGCTTATTGTCTCTTGATAATTTTAATTCATATGTTTTGTTTATCACATACAGAAAAATTAAAATCCTGGGCAGTAAGTTTGGCTGGCGTGATGTTTTGTTTATCATACACACTAACATTATGCTAACATGAACTGATATTTTTGTTAAACTTGGTTCCTGCAGGGATGTTTTGATTTTTCTTAGGTTAAAATGAATATTTTTAGCATGAACTCTTCATTTGTCGGACTTTTGGAATTGCTGTCAACAAGGTTTTACTGTAGAAGTTAAAAGTGGAGGGATCGAGTCCAGTTTTTCTCATATGACTCGGTCTTTTTTAAAAGAATGGCTAGCTGCCTGACGAGTGTGTCACACAGATTCCAGCTCTGGGGACAATCGTAATTCCAGCCTACTGCGATCAAAACCAACTGCTGGCTGCATGGATTTTAATCATGGTATGGGGCGTTGCAGGTTGACCCAGCCTAAAATAGGTACCAGGATTTATGCCCTAGGGAAGTAAAGACGGCCGGCGTAATGCTGATCACATTACCCATCTAGTGCCGATTGGTCTGTAAAAATATAGGCACTCTTCCCATATGCCCCATGTGCCTAAAGGCAGGAAAAGGGATATTTGGGAGTAACCGTGGCATTGGCCGCTAGATGCTCTCCTGTGGATCAGAGTTTTTTTTAAAATGACCTTGACTCCCAGGTCGACCCAGCTTTGAGTAGCTACCAGGTGCTGTCCTGGAAAGTAAAGGCGGCTGACGTGACACTGACCACATCACCCACCAAACGCATGTTGGTCTATATAAATATAGATCAAGCCCTATGTCCCCAATACGCCTAAAGGCGTGGAAAAGGGGCACTCACTTTTTATTATTTTTGTCCAGGGACAATCCCAAGAAAACTAAAAATTGCATTTGTGAACTAAACGTTGCATCCGTGAAATGATCTTTAGAGTGTGATGCAAGCTGCTTGGCCACTTATCATATGTATTTTCTTTTTCAGGTCTTTCAGTATTTTTGTCGTGTTCCAAAAGTATGGTATATCAATAAACACATTCATACATGTATGATAAACAAGGAAATTTTCTTCATTGAGTATTTGTTTTGTCAAACTGACCTAGACTGCCAGCTGGACTTAGTCTAACAGGAAGTAGTGGAGATGTTATAGGAAGTAAAAACAACTGAGATGATAGTCAATTTCCCACCATGCCTGACAAATGTTTCTGGTCTATAAAATGATAGAACCATAAACACCCCCCCCCCCCCCCCCACCCACAAAAACCCATCCTGTCCTTACTTGACTTCTGATCTCTTATTCTTCTCTTGTACCGCCCCCTTGTCCTGTCTATCTTTATTTACTTCACTCTCCAACTCCCTTGTTCATGTGTTGTCTGGTCTGCCTTTATTCCTTTGACCCTGCAGTTGCCAGTTTGTTTCTTTACCGCCCGCGGAAAAGTCCATGATTCACATCAGTATGTTGCCATAGCAACCTTGCCATCCACCAACCCACTCCAGGACAATTAGAAAAAACAAACAACTATTTGTGTATCCTTTAGCGGACCCTGCGGCATTGTTTGGCTGACCGTAATTTTACTAGGCAATTTTTACATTGAGTAGTTTACGATTGCTCTCTAACAGTTGGCTCTCTATACCATTATTGCAGTCAATGCAAAGCGGTTTGCTGCCAAACTAGCTTCAGTTGGAATTGAATCTGGGATGTCAGAATTACAAACTGCATTTACTGTTTCTAAACCACAGATTCTTTCTTCTTCAATGATCAACAACTGCTGGTTTCTGTCCCTTTATGGATCATAAACAGTACAGCGTACGCTACATCTTGACCTGGGCCTCAATGTTTATCTTGTAGAGATTCTCCTATATGCCAGGCTTCTTCTCTCTTACCCGCCAAGTCTGTAAGACATTCTCAATAAAAAGAACACACACACAGAAAAGAACCGATGAAATGCATAGATATGTACAGTCGTATTTGCTTTAATATTCCTTTAGACTGAAAATAATAAATTGATACAAGCTTGATACGAGGGATCAAGTCACTGATAAGAGAAAAATCCCCTACAAGTATACATCATGGGTACACATCAAATGCAGCAATCACTTTACATATAATCATAAAATAGACAACTTTTTAACAATCACTTTATAGATAATAAACATAAAACAGACAACTTTATAACAAACATAAAATGGACAACTTGATTCTACAGGCAACAATTTCGACAGCAACAAGTCTATAAGATAACAATAGCAGATTTGTTTGTGGAACAGCGACGAGTCCGTAAAATAAGGATG